ACTATATTTCAGCTGAAACTAGTTAAAAATATAAAAAAAGAATACGGTATTATTTAGCATTGCCTCATTTTAAATTGTAAACCTCAATGTCATCACAAACATTTAATAAATAATTGAATAGTAGAATCTTTTTTGCTACAATTGTTTACGTGCAACAGCTCTTATGCTTGTTTAGGTAAAACTTTACTAAGTTATTATTATTATTACTGATAATGCTTTTTTTTTTTCCTTATGATGCATTAGTGAAGTTTTGCTCATGCTGGATTTCAGCAGAATTTTTCCTCCCATCTTTTCCCAAAGAACAAGTTGTTGGCAGAAGGGAGAGCAGGTTCAGCCTCGGTCCAGTGACAGCTGCAGCCCTCTGGGCAATAAACCATGTCAGCCAACAAGACATCACGACCACACACACACACACACACACACACACACACACACACACACNCACACACACACACACACACACACACACACACACACACACACACACACACACACAGAAAATACCAGCAATAATTCAAACAGTACCGAATATCAGAGACCTATCAAATAATGTGTTTCTCTGGTCAATGTATCTAGTTTTGTACATTATTTTGTAAAGGACTGTTTCCAACAGTGGACCAGTTTTATCGCCTATACCTCCACCATCTGGTGATACAGTGCAGCTTAGTTCATATGCTAATGTTAAAATGGACATGTCTGATACATGTTTTACATATAAAACTTTCAGCATTTTAGTACCTTAATATACATTTTGTATTGGAACTTAGGGTTTATTGGTGTTGTGTTTCTGCAAGGTTTGAATTTTTTAACTGGAAAAAGTGTTTTTCTGAACAGTTATCCTGCTGCACGGCTTCTTTGGTTTCATTTAATGAATGAGGAAGCTAGCAAAACATGACACAGGTCATTGAACTGTATTCTTTAAAAATTTAATTGTGGGAAAGTTTTTTTTGTTTTGCTTTTGTTTTTAACTGCACTAAACTACATTGTACAGATTGATGAAAATGATGTAACAGCACTCAAATAATGGAATTGATTTGTTTAAACTAATAACATTTTAACTTAAGTTTTTGCCAATATGGTTGCCATATTTTTATTGTAATAATTAGCCAAATGTAAAAGAAAACCACAGACTATTTAATGCTCGATTGTCTAACAATAACAGAGTGTTGAGACACACACACACATTTTCAACAAGCTGAAAGAGCTAAACAATAATCTTTTGTTGTTGTTGTTGTTTTTTTCCCCCTTACGAACAGACCAACAATACACACAGAAAATCTGCCAGACGTAATGCTTCATTTAGACAACTTGTCTGAAACATACCCCCATCAACAGCTGCTTCAAAATACCACAAATCAAGGCATCCTCTTAAAACACAGATAACCAGTTGACACATGACTCAACCTACATTCATTTCTCAAATCTGTAGATTATCTTCTTGTAATCTCCACTAGTATGCGGAGAAGCTCATTCCAATGAAACCAAAAGGGGTTAGATAAAGAGTAAGCAGCTGTGTTTAGGTTGTAGGGCTTCAAGTAAATAAAAAGACAAATTAAGGGTAAATATACAAGGAAATATAGCTTTCTTCTTATAATTAGATTTTGTATGCTTAGTTTTGATAAACCATAAATCCAATTAAAAAAGGGGTTTAAGTATGTTCTGAACAGGTAACATAATCTCTTTAAATAATAATTGTCCATACCCCCCCCCCACCCAAATGCTTCATTCATATTTACCAACATTAGCTATTAACTAAACAGTATATATACATGAACATGTTGCCCTTCAGATGTGTTTACTTTTGTCTGTAATACTAAAAGAGCTGTTTCTTTTTGGGATAATCAGTGCTGATAAAGAAGAACAGCAAACAGAAGTAAGTGCTGTGTTTTTGGTGTTAAGAGGCCCAGCGGTTTTAAGTTATCCTGCCACAGTGCCGCGGGGAGTTCCTGGGCTTTCCACTTGTTTAAACTATGGCAGGCAGGAAATGAAACATGCAGGAGTGAGGATCGCATTAAAAAAAAGCGAGGGAATTTTAAAGGAAAAAAAAGTGGTAACACTAACAGCAAGTATCTTATAAGCCAGCCAAAAAATGAAAAATTAAAACTTTACTAACCAGGAACAGTAATACTGTAGATCCACGTCTTTGAACTCCTTCTTATTTGCAGCATATTAATCCACAACAARGAGAAAAAGTTTATTTTTCAAATGACCCAGAATCTGATCCAAAGTGCTCATGAAAGACGGTTCCCCAAAAAGCAGAACTAGCGGACTAACAAGCTTTTAGTTTGTCTTGACCAGAAAAAGGAGTGTGTTCTCGCGCTGTTCACTTCTGTCTGTCTGTCCGCTGGCTCCAATAAGATGTGTGTTTGCATGTGTGTGCAGGACTATGCAAGTGGGTGTGTGTAGTCTGCTCATTTCCTGCCTGGATGTGCTTCTGGGCTCCAGGCGGGCAGGCTGCTCAGGAACACATGGCCACTGCCTGCTCTGCCAGGGGTTCCGCATTCCTTCCACACACACACACACACACACACACACACACACACACACACACACACACACACACACACACACACACACACACACACACACACACACAGCCTCTTTTGCAGGGCAAACCCCACCCTTTACTCAGTTATCAACTGACCCAAACTGAAATGACACACACATGCACACGTGCATGCACACACACAGACTGCCCTGAGGTTAATGATACAGGGCCAACTCCCCTGCTGCTGTCATTCAGTTGAAGCTTTGTGATCCGGTTATTTTTTTACCATTTAAAAACATGAAAACAGAGAAATAAGAAAGAAGCATAAAACCTAGCAATGCCTTGACAACAATAATTGTTGCCATTAGTCTCATTTCTGCTTTTTTAGGAGATTTTTATTTTTTGGGACGTTTCAGAGAAGAGGAAGTCGGCAAATGTGTGATTACACTCCCTTGTTTTTCAAGCAGCAACATTTATTTCATTAATGCAGAAATACTTTATTTGTGACAAAAGCTACTGGCATCAAATTATTAAACTTTTAAAGTAGAAAGCAAATGTGTTTTGTTTTTCAATAGAATGCTACTGATTTCAAGTAACATGTCATARTAAATAACACAAACACATAAGATAGGGCAATGTTGTTGTTTTTTTACTTTAAACACTGACAAGGGTTTAGAGCAAACAGACGGATAGATTTTGTGACCGAGATGACAAAGAGTTGAAGGAGTGCTCAATGCCTCTATTGTCTCAGTGATTGCTCACAGCATCGGGCCGGAAATGAGGTGGAAATTAGTGTGTCTACCAGGATGTCAATTTTATTTCACTAGTGATTGGTGATGGAGCCATTAAATCTATTGCTAACTACTGGGAAGTGATTTGACCAAGGACTGTTGCCACTACTAAAAACAAAAGTTAACGTATATTGTTGAATGTTTTTGTCCTTTTTTGACTGACCGGTATTTTAGTTCCTTTAAGCTTAAAAAAATCCCATTTTCTTTAATCTTACAGATTATAGTATGTTGGCAGAAAGAGTAAACATGAGTTATTATGTATTATTCAGTTAATTTTGGTGGAATTATAATACAAACACAAGAATTATTACATTTCATTTTTATATTATATTATAATACAAATAACATTTTGAACTTTAAAATTAAAATGACTTCTGTTGAGATCTGCATGAATTTATCTAAAAACACTTCTCTCAAAACAGTGTTTTCCTCAACAGCATTTTATGACTGACAGGAATTAAAATAATTATTTTCAATGGCAATCTGAGTACTGAGTAAGACCATACTTTAGCCATTATCCCTAATTTCTGACCAATTTATGGGTCTCATTGCAGGCCAGAAACTTAAGCCTGTTCTTTAAGAAACTATTAAACAGAAAGTACCGGCCCTGTTCTTTCAGTTTTATGGCATGAGTCGGCTCTGTTTCAGTCCAACTATAAAACAGAAAAGAAGGAAAACACCGATTTGAGGCCCAGCTTCAGGTAACGGCTGTCAGAGGTTCTCATTAAATCAAACTCAGTGTTTAAACAGGTGCAACAAGTCAGTGTAAGGTATTTTAAGTAGTTCTTGGCTCTCTGGCCTGCAGAGGCCACTGATATTTTGCCATAAGCTTATCAAATCCAAAACTAATGTCAATGTCCAATAGAATCAAACTGCAGCACATCTCTCCAGCAGCATCCATCATGATTATTACTGGCTCCTGACTGTTTTTACTTTCAGAAGTCATATACCAGAGCTGGGATGCATTCAGAATGAGAGAGGGTAGTCTACCTTAGTGCTTTAAACAGAGCCCTATACGCCTAACTGATGTTAAGAGGTAACGGAACTAGTAAACCCACTGCTATCTCGTTGCAGACATTGTACAAAGTAAAGACGTCATTCAACCACTAGAAGAGATCTGAAAACTATATTAAGTATTTTTCCAGTACAGGAAAAAAGGGAGATATTCTAAAAAGAAAGAGCTGGTTTGATTTTTTACTTGCTCTAATTAAAAATTTAAAAATTTCACAAAGTTGAGGTCCACTTAAATATTTCTACCATTCTGAATTTTGAAGAAAACAGTTGGATGTGAGAGAAAAGTGCTCTGTTCAACTCATGAACTTACGTACAAGCGTGTGTGTGGAGTAGTTTCCTGACACACTAATAAAACCTGTCTTTTCATGCCTTACAGTTCTGAGACATGCCATCTCCCTTATCACCTTACAGATGAAGACAAACACACACATCACACACACATTTATGACACACACTCTGCATCTTCCATCACACAAGCTGCGTAGATAGTAACGCTTCATGTGTCATGTCAGATAAATCCAGCTTCTCTCACTCTGTGACACTTTTACACTTTTAATGTCTCACCCTGTCGTAATGCAGTTCTCCTGTTCTCTCTCTCTCTCTCTCTGTGTGTGTGTGTGTGTGTGTGTGTGTGTGTGTGTGTGT